TCCATTTTTTATCACTGGTGACAATTTTGTCCAAAAATGGTTCATGCAGATTATGTGCCAGAAGAGACGAAGCGACATTCACACGTTGAAAACAATGATCATTGGAGAGTTCGTGAGGCACCCAAACACCTTCTTTGTGGAGTTGTTACCATATTCCTTAGATGTTTATGTGTTGTTACATGAGAGACATGCAATTTGAGGGCCATTTCACGAGTGTGTTGCCATGGGTTAGACTCAACAAGCATTTTCAGAGCATCAATGTGAATTCCAACATATCGACCCCTGCCATCACAATTTTTAAGGCTAAAGTCACCTGAATTAAATTTTCTGAACCATCGTTGACACTTACGAACGTTCAAAACATTTTTATAAACTTCTTTGATATTATTTGTGGCTATAGAGGCGTTGTTTCCCTTCTTGTACTTAAACAGCATTACTTGTCGAATGTGTGTCTCGTCGTGTGCCATCACTATAAGGGATTAGAGTATACTAAACTTTACACCTTATATAGGCTACACTAACGTGACGTTTAGGCGGTTCGTTTAACTATTATACATGATGTACGTCTTTTGGAAGTGTTTTTTTATTTAATTTATTCACTAAGCAAGATTTCTATTTCAATTCCCATGCATATGGATTATCATTTTTTAGGGTAGACGCTTGTGAGTCGACTGTGGAGATTGTCACCCCTTATTGGGCGTCAAACAGCGCTGGAAAGATTCGAGCAATTATTAATACCAAACACCTGCAACAGGCTATTCAGCAGGAAGTCTGTCAGTAAGTAGCATCAAATATATGGTAAAAAAATCAATAAGTAATCTGAATTTCTGATTTCCAGAATAGAAAATAATGCTAAATCATTGCTAGAATTTGTTTTCATCAAACGCTTTTTGAATTACAAAACATTCAATTGGTTACTTATGAACACAACACCAAAAGAAACAGTTGTATTAAATAAAGGATTCCCAACAGAGCTTATTGTGGTTCTTTAGCGAAAAACGTTGCAAATTAGTGATTCATATGTAATAGTCCTCTTAATAGAAAAAAAACACACTGACAAAATATTTTAACGTAACTCTTGGGCGTTTTTGACTAATTATTCATTATACCCTAGATCCTTGGATCCACAGCTCGACACACTACTCACTAGGTCAAGCACGGTCGATTTAAAAATTATTGATCTTTAAACATATTTGTTATAGTCTCGATAAATTGGGCTTCATTATATTAGAAGTTGAGTCAGTTTTTTTAGATACATGCCCCCAAGTGGCACAGCGGTATGTCTGTGGACTTACAACCCTAGAAACCGGGTTTCGATATCCGTAGTGGGCAAAGCACAGATAGCCTTTGTGTAGCTTTGTGCATAATTAAAAACAAACAAAACAAACTTTTAGATACGAAGCAACAAATTCAGTTATTACCAATAAATAATTCATTTCTAATGATTATCTTAACTGTATAATATAAATGTGACTATTTATTATGATTAAAGGTTAATTGGTTTAAGAACAGTTTAAATAATAAACTCAAGTACCTATGAAGCAACTAATCCTACTGAGTCATTAAAACTTTTATTTTGTGTCAATCGAAATGTTGATTTTTTTTTTCAAAACCTTTGCTGTGAGAGGACGTGAACGATGAGTCCTCGGATTCACTGTCCGGGTGCGTGCTACCTACTAGTCACGGAAGTGTTTGGCAGTTATCAAGTTGCAAAATCCTATAAAGCTTATTTGCTGCTAAAAACTGAATTATCTAAAAAGTTCAGATATTTTTGTTGTTTTTTCGCCGAAAAGTAACACAATGAGCTATCTGGAATCTTTCCACTATGGGTAATCGAACCCCAGATTTAAGCATTGTAAGCACGGGAACACCCATAACCCAGGGGACTGCATAACTTTAAAGCCACTAGAACAATGATATATAGTTAATAGTAGCAAATTGTAACTTTTTATTTAAATTGCAATTTCAAACAAGACATGTGACTTTTAAAAATTGCTATAAGTAAAACCGAAATTGAAAAATATAAGAATATACGTACAAAATCTAACGACCTGAATTATGTGTTAAGATGTCTAACCTTGAATTAGTTTAAATTAATTTGTGAGGATATTTATTTAAAAGTCAGTAGGAAATTAAGTTTTGATTACGTTTTAAAAATTTATTATTATAAGAACAGACAAATCTTGTATTATCAGATAAAGCGACTAAATGAACATATCGTTAATGTATTTGGTAGTGATATTGTTTCTTTCCAAAAATGACTTAAGTTTTATGTAGACTAACACATCTGTTGTCTTCATTCTACCGAGTGGCTTGGTATATAATAGGAATAAAGATGATGTCACGCACATAATAGGGTATTCCCCTGTTTGTCAGCAACAGAAACAGATTAATGATCCACCCTCTCTTAATAGTGAACTGATTTTTTTTTACTCTTGTATACACCATGTTATTCTTGTTGATTTCTCGAATCCTGATCAGATAGCAGTGGTGTCCTCCCACGCGTTTGCCTTACCCACTGTTATATGTGAAATCGATGTCCCGATAAAAATCAATAGTGGAACAGTGTACATGGAGAGGATAACCATCAAAGTGACCAACGAGCTGCGAGGCATGTCAGTTTCATGCCTCTAGATTCTAGAAAACAAAGCCCATAAGGAAAACACATAGTTAAGGGCGGTCTCAAGAGGCTGTAAACATCGTGGGAACACGAAGGCGAGATTATGATTACTGAGAGAAGGAAAATTAGTGGGAACACTTATGGTAGTAAATTATTACACACCGGGCAAGAAACAAAATTTGTAGTTATATAGGAGACCCCGAACAAAAAGCTGCTTAGAAAAATAAAAAATAACTTGTTTCTTTCCAAATATGTCTTGGGGAAACGCAAATAAAACACCTTTTGAATATTGTACAAAAAAGATTCACAAAATTCAAAGAAAAATATTAATCACTGTGAAAGTTTTCGGGTGGCTATTGGAGATAAGAATGTGTTGGCCTGTTTTTGGATATTTGTTCAAAGCTACTTAAAGAGAACCTGCGCTAGTAGTAATTATGAGTTAATAGACAAGATGGAAGTCAACTAGTAGATATCACCCACCGCTAACTCTTAAGCTACTCTTATCTGACCAAACAATGGAATTTGATTGTCATACCTATAAGGTACCCATGGCTGCAAAGTGCAAAGTATAGTTTTTTTCATGGAAGGGGAACAAACAAAGACCCAGATCCATAGTTCGGCACGGTGAGCACTGCGCAACCCTGAGCCCCAGATACAATAAAACATGGCATGTAAATTAAAGGCTTAATTGTCTCTTGAAGTATTTGTGTAATACACACCATATATATAAAGATAATCAAATCATTAAGCAGCACACTATGTGCCAGTTTACAACTTGGGATAGACTTTGATATGTTAAATTAAGATCATTAGGTTCACACCTCCCTCAAAACTTTTAGCTTATAAAATACAGTTTCGTACATGAAACTTTATAAAAAATAAATTACAAATTTGTTTTTCAATGTTCTATTACTTGCATTTCAAAGTACTCATCTAAATGACGTCAACTTATAAGAGTTTTAGCAGACTATTTATACTTCTTTCACAGGTGTCACTTTACCAATAACAAATGGTATATTATAGGTTCTGTTACAGCTTATGCTGAGAAATTTCGAAGATGAAAAACACGTGCATATTTGAGTATAATGCATAATTAATGTAGTCGATTATCATTTAGCATCTGCAGCCACATATGACGTTTTATACAGAAAATATATACTTATTCTGATGGAAGTATTTTGTTAAGTTTCCAATATACTGTTGAAAAATAAGAGTGCTCATAGCATTTGTAAATATGAAACAACACCGTTTCAATTACAGATAAAAAGTGTTGTATATTATGTATGTCTCCTTGAACGCAATTTTAAGCAAGTTATTATTTTTTCCTTGTGTATTTTAAACATGAAGTACGACAGGCTTCATAACGACTTGATAAACTTTTAACAATAAAAATACCTATAATAAATGATGAACTGTAGGGCCATTTATAAAACTGGGTTTCTGTGATCTTCTAGGACGCAGCAGACAAAGAGGTGTAATGGAGACTGCTCCTGTGAGCAGAAATACAAGTGGCATCGGCTCCTGGCTTATGACCCCGATGATGACTGTCGAGGAATCTTCATGGATTGGTTTCTTTTCCCTTCTTGTTGCGTATGCAGATGCACAATTCTGGTCAACAAGTGACCATTTTGCACATTGGTGTCTATAGTTCAAGAAATAATATAAAGCCATTAAGTACGGAATTTGGCTAATATAGTTTGAATTACACAATAAAAATGAACAATTTTTAGGATTGCACGTTGTAATATACTTAGCGTGAAAAGAACTTTATTCTTAGACGGAGATGAAGAAAATGACGTGATCGTGTGCGACTGGCAATTACAGCAGGACTCTTTTGTATTGACTACAGATCTTGTTAGAGTCGTCATTTATTCGAAACAAAAGTTCCAGTTTTGGTTCTTTTACCGGTGTTTTACTGCATGTTATACTGTACATTTTATAAAGGTGTATATCAAGATTGACACCTGGTGCTTGTTCATGATCTGAATATTCAGTATTTTAATTAAGCTTCCTATGGTCATAATTAGTGAAATATACAAAATGAAACTTCATTATATCACTTGCTATTTATAAAGTTTCTAGGAAACGAGAAACTACGATATTTAAAAATGCAAGTTCCGTCAAGTGAAATACAGTGCATCTATTCTTAATGAAGAAAGATCCCCTTTCTGAAAGTATTCGGATTATCGTTTTCCTAATTAGGGTTTAAAGTGCTTTTGCAGATTCTCTGTGCTTTCCAAGTACCACGAGGTTTTGGAATTTTCTTGAATGACGTGGTGTATTTTTTCTAATATACTGGTTCAGGTTTCTTTTTATACAAGTTTAAGATTTTTTGGATTTTAATAAAAATGAGTTACAGTTGCAAAAAAATTGCATAGTTTATCTTACTACAGAGTTTTGTTTAGAAATAAAAAACTATTGTGTTTCATTTAATTTAAAACTTAAAATAAAATGTGGTGCTAAATAAACCTCTTTTCTTGTAAAGGAATGGTGATAGTGTGATTAAAACAGCATTCTGAATTCATATATCTTTTACTCATTCATACCGCCATAGGGTCTGCAATTTTGATTATCCTTAGAGCCATAGACAATAAAATAAAATAATATAAAACTGTTTATTTAATTAGAAAAACACAAACCAATTCTATTTAACAAGCATTGAAAACATAATTATAAAAGCTAAATACATATGTTCAAAACACTTTACTCTTAGCGTTAGATATACAGTTCTAACAAGATATACAAAATAAGATACATACAATTCTAAACGAAACAACTTAAACTGAAAACTTTTAAACCATAGCTAAGCGAATAGGTTAAAACGTAATACTATGTGCATTTTCAATTTAATCTAAAATAGGTCCTATATACATTGCTGCAAATGGAGTTAGGTATTATAGTTAATAAAAAAAAGCTCAATGAATATTATAGTCTACAATTTGGAATGGAATAAAAAAACATCTTTTTTACAAAGGTCCTTAAAATCATATGTATTTTCTTGAGATTCTTCCGAAAAATTTGTGCAAGTGAAAAACAACTTTCTTATCAGTTTTTAATGCGTAACCTTTTCTTTCTCCACCAGTTTCCTAGAATTTAAAAAAAAAGCAAAGTAAATTGGAAAAGAGAAAATCTTCGTGAAGTCGAACGGTTTATTAGACTTTGTTGCTTATTAGGCGCAAGTCGCTATCTACGTATATAACTAAGATAGAACATAGGTCTGCAGTTTGTAGTATGTTGAGCCAGGTACAAAATATATTTCGATTAAAGAATATGTCTCTTTAGGTAATTTTAAACAGATGCTTCTATAAGGATCGTATGTGGTACTATATATATATATATACATGATTATGCACAGGTTAGCTTGAGCTTCTCTGGTGCCGGACTTGAAAAGTAATACTATAAATTGGATCGTGGGCCGTTCATCTGATGCAAAGGCACCCGTGTTACGCCCAGCATTTAACATCACCTTCATTTGTCGTTGATTTCACGTGTTTTGCTACCGACCTCCTAGCTTAGTTGAACCCTGATTTGTGGCATTAAGGCGGTAAAACTGAAATAGCTGCTACACCCGAGCCGTTCGTCCGATAGAAGAGGTCAAGGCTGAATCTGACCCTTCCTGGTCCAAAACATGGACCGAATATCGATGAAGAGGATGAGAATTCGTCCGATTCCTAATCACTTTCAACAAGACAACTCTGCTTTACATATACAAATGTGATGTATATGTATCAGTACGAATACTTAATTCAAGATTAAAATGATATTAAACATGTATAAACTGGAAACTAGAATTTGATCAACACTTTGTTACGTTGTTGAATGCCTCTCAGGAAATACTCAATGAAGTATGGTTTGAGTGCATATGTAGATTTTAGCATGCACCCCCAGTGGTACAGCGGTAAGCTTTGAGGCTTATAACGATATAAATCAGGATTCTATCCCCGTAATTGTTAATAGAAAATGGAGTTAATATCTGGTTGAAGTATTTCTTTTTTGTTAAACCTTTACAAAAAGTATTTGTTTTTGTTAATTATACAGAATCAGGCTACGTAATCATACCATGAAAGCAACCAGTATTCTTTCATCTATGTTATATAAATAGCTGAATTTTATTCATGTAATATCAATAAATATTTAAAACGTACACAATTAGTTCCAATTTCTAAGCTTTACAGCTGTTTCGTGAAGTAAGTAAGATTATAAAGAATGCTATTTACTAGCTAAATCAAGTAAATAACATTATTGAAGAAATAGCAAAGATACTTGGCAATACCAGGCTTAACTTAAAATGATGCTATACATGTTGACGTGGGCCGCCTCCTTCTACTATTTTGAACAAATATGCTTCGATGCAAAGGTGCCAATGTTAGGTGCGGAAATAAATGTCAGTTTCGTTTGGCGTCGGTTCTACTAATTTTGCTACTGACTTCCTCGCTCAGTAGAGCCCTCATTCGTGGCATTAAGGCGATAATATTGAAATAGCTATCAAGCTCGAACTGATCATCCTAGTGTTTGTCTTTTAAATTCGATCTATAGCGGGTTCACCTGAGTTCCTTTCCAAATATTACCAGACACACAGGTAGAATGGAGGAACAAATTATGGAAATGGTATTATAGCCTTTTAATTGTCTCATAATAAAATATAACTTCAAATTCTAAGCATAGAAATAGTAATAGATTTGTTTACGTTTTGAGTACGAGCACTTTTATTATTGTAAGGTGAAAACAACTATTTATAATTGCACAATAAAGTTTTTATACCTTGGAAACTTTATTGTGCAATTATAACAGTTGCTTTCTTCTTACAATATTAAGTGTACGATGTGCTTCCCCTACGCAAACAAGTGCACTTCTTCAAGTTTCGGAACAAAGCTACAGAGTTTCTAAGAAAAAAGGGTCGCATAATATAAAACACGTTCTGTTCGTGTAATTATAGAAACAGATTTATTCATTATAATTTTAGCACTGGGGAAATATCTGCATAAAAGCTTTTAAAATTAGTATTTATCAAACGTAAATAGTGTGGACTGATAAATAATAAAAGGTAAAACATTTGGAGTTTGCTGATCATGGTAATTATATATAAGTCCCCCGGTGAGACAGCGGTTTGTCTTCGGATTTACAATGCTAGAATCAGGGGTTCGATTCTCCTCGGTGTACACAGCAGATACGTACAATTATATTTATAAAATAAACAAAAATGTGGATAAAAGTTCTTTAATATTGCGAATAACACTTGAAGGGAATATTATTTTTACTAAATCGGGTAAACTGAAAAAAAAATTATAATGTATCAATGATGACTAGAAATTAAATACAAGAATACGTCACAGAAACAGGTCACATGAATCTCAAGTTGTTCAACAATAGAAATACGTTTAAAGCATATTTTATATGACTTGTAGATTCTTGCTGACATTGCATAACCAATTATCATCTAGAACTTATGGAAACCATCGCTCTGAATTAGGAAATTAGGAAATTACGTCATATACATATCCTCGAAAGTTACAGATATTTCACAAGATTTACTGAATGTAAAATTATGTTTAATCTCTACAAATATTGCATTATTAAAATTACTTTATGTCAGTAGACAACTAAAATTTGGTGATACAACTAATATTATATCAGAAACAAAGAATAGATATTTCGAATATTTATGATATTCTTGCGCTAATATATATGGATAAGTTGATATATATATATATGTGTGCTTTGTTCTTTCTTTGTGGTTTGAATACTGATTTATTATTTGAGATTTACGTTTTTTAGTCATATTTTAGGCTATAGTGTTTACATTTTACAACATTGCTGAAACAGGTTTATGTTTTCAACAACGAATTTGAGATTTTACTAGCCCTAATCAGAGTTTCACCTAGAGTTTAAATGACTTGAAGGAGGTTATCCGTAACTACCTATAGTCGTTATCCTTCATTAGAGATTTGGTTGATGGTTCACTTCGCCTTAGCTACGTGTTATCTTGCATTAACTGTCAGATTTCTCTGACTGAATTATTGTAGGCTGTCAATCACCTCCTGCAATGTCAGTTTGTAACATTACAGAATAGAATCTAGGTATCTAGTGGTCTTGAATAGCCATTCATTTCATTAATAAGCCCTTTAGAATAGAAATAGGCAAAGCAAATAATGTGGTAGATGAGATTTTGATGAGGTCAGGGCCACTGTTGTGTAGTAACGTCGATATTAGTAGCAACGTTACGTTTTTAGTAACGTCCAAGGTAACGACACTACTTTTCAAATTTAGTAACATTTTCAGATAGACCGTTAAATTTTTAGTGAAAACAGTGCGTTATTATTTACACGTTACTTTTAAGTTTAGTAATAGTATAGCCTACTAACATACTTACAAATATAAAATAACTAATAACAATTAGTAGTTAAAACTATCTGGTTAAAACAACAACAATAATTAATAAACTAATAAAAGTAACCATGAATATAATAATTAATATACTTTTTTAATTGCAGTAATATCTGAATAACAGCAGAGGAATAAAGAATTGCATGTGTATTCCTGCTGAAACATGTTTTAGTTGAGTTGTGAACTTATAGACTTGTAGTAAGGACCGTCACACTAATCAAGGTCATCTTTAGTGTGTA